GCCTCTTAAAAGGAAGTTTTTCCTTGCCGCCGTCGCCAAGTGCTTGCTCATGGTGGGAACTGTTGGGTCTCTGTAAATAATTTTATAAGGAGTACGGTCTAGACCTGCTCTATTTGAAAAGTGTCCTAAGATAACTTCTGTTATGAATTGGCACTATACAAATAAAATTGAATTGAATTGAATTGAAAAAGTGGCTTCATTATGGCTCTACTGATTTTTGGAGAGACACTACAAAACTTGAATGGCCCAGCTAATAGTACTCATTAATCAAACCAAAGGACTGGCAGGCTTGTACTTTGGACACCCATGGGACTAATACAGCCAAGGTTGTGTCTTTTACTTCAAAAAAAGTGTCTAAAGAACACACAATGACTGCAGGAACGGCTGTAAAGACTGCCTTGTAAGGTCTAATCAATGTTGACTGATGTTTTGACAGCTTAAAATAAGAGTGAAGTCTGCTAGCAGGACTATTAAATTCTCTCCATTCAACAACTCTATTTATACCTCTGTCTGCACCAGTGATAGCCATGGTCGGAGGCATTGTGTTTTCATCTGTCCATCCAACCTAATGTTTTTGGTAGTAACTAAATTGATGCTGTAATTATGCTAAAATGTCACACACATGTTTGATGGGATAGATACAACAATGAAGTGATGACTTGTTTTACCTAAAAAGTCTTTTTTGTCTATTATTCAACACCATAACTCAGGAACAGAAGTGCATATTGTGACCACATTTCACAGTTGGTCGGACACCGAACTGGTGACACTTTTGACTCAAAGGTCAAAGGTCACTGTGACCTCAAAATAGGTTTTTAGCCAAAATTTAAGAATAAATTCTAGATTTCACACACACATGATGACTGGGACAACACAGTGAGTAAACAAGGCTTTAAGTTTTCCATCTCATCCATTCTGCCTTTCACTTCCTGCCTCATTCTTAATTTCACCTGACTGCAAACACTGTATTGGAGCGTTGAGCTAATGGTGGGGTGAAATCAAAAGCACCATAGTTAGTATAGCTATACTATACTAAGAATCCATCTTTACATAGTAATCAAGTAGATGTGTGTCTATTTAGCCAATAAAATCTATGATAATCCTTCATTAGTTTTTCTCTGTGGTGCTAGGGAAAACATTTCATTTTATTCTTTTGGGACTATAAATATCAATGACAAATGCAATCTGATCTGACCATTTATTTTTAAGATGCCTGGCACAGATTAACAGTCAACTATTGGACTAACCAACAGACCATCACCATAAAACCTAGACATAAAAACAAAGCAGCATTAAATTTCCAATCTCTTCACTTAACAGGTTCCTGTTCAGGATCTGCAAGGTATCCCAGCATACATTGTGTGGAAAGCGGGGCATTAAATGTGCACTTTTAGGCTGTCTGTAATGTTCTATTTGCCTGTTTTGTTGTTTCAGACTGACCTTTGACCCTCGAGGGAGCACTGTCTCCCTGGGAGTGATTCCAGGGAGGGAGGGGCTAGCCTGGGTCCAGGGATGGACATGGACAGCTACCCAGGGGGGAGCACCTCGGGACCTAACATCACAAACTGCACCGTCTTACCGGCCAGCAGCCTGCAGGCGGTCCAGTTCACAGACGGGATGGCGGTGGTGGTGGTCATTCTCGGCCTCCTCACTTTCCTCACTGCGCTCATCAACGGTGCCGTTATCGTCGCTATCTGCACCACCAAGAAGCTCCACCTGCCTGCCAACTACCTCATCTGCTCCCTGGCCGTCACTGATTTCCTGGTGGCGCTACTCGTCATGCCCATCAGCATCCTCTACATCACCATGGAGACGTGGTCGCTGGGTCAGGTGGTATGCGAGATGTGGTTGAGCATGGACATGACCTGCTGCACCTGCTCCATCCTGCACCTGTGTGTCATTGCCCTGGACAGGTACTGGGCCATCACCAAAGCTATCGAGTACACTCGCAAGAGGTCAGGCCGCCGTGCTGCCATCATGGTAGGAATAGTCTGGGTCATCTCAGTTTTTATATCCATGCCACCCTTGTTCTGGAGGCAGAGGCCCAGCAGCGACAGCTTCCAGCATTGCATCATAGAGCACGACCACCTGGGATACACTATATATTCTACTTTGGGGGCGTTTTACATCCCCATGATCATCATTCTTATCTTATACTACAGGATTTACAACGCCGCCAAAACTCTTTACCAGAAGCGTGGCTCTTCTCGGCACCTCAGCAGCCGCAGCATGGGCAGTCAGAACTCTGTGGACCATTGTCGGGTCTCCCACACTTTCTGTGTGTCAGACTTGTCCAACTCCGATCCCACACTGGCTCCTGACAAACTCAACGCCACCATCCGCATCCCGTCCTTTGAGACAGACATGGACGGGCAGGATGAAAAGAACCAGATATGCACCTCACGCGAGAAGAAAGCAGCGCGAATCCTCGGCCTCATCCTCGGGGCCTTCATCATCTGCTGGCTGCCTTTTTTTTTGAAGGAGCTCCTGGTGGGTCTGCAAGTGTTGCAGCCCTCTCAGCTTCTGTCCGACTTCCTGACCTGGCTGGGTTACATCAACTCTCTCATCAATCCCCTACTGTACACCAGCTTCAATGACGATTTCAAGCTGGCTTTTAAAAAGCTGCTCAAGAGAAAAGAGCATGTGTAGGTCCAAGGTTAAGAACACCAAAGGGAATGTATACACCTTTAACTTACCGTCTGTCTACTGGCAATATGGAGTGCTTTTCAAGTAAAAAAGTTACACCTCAGTAAACAATGTATTCTCTGTTTTTCTCAATAAAGGAATTCTTTATAACTACTTTTCATTTATCACATAACTTTCATTCATATATTTTCATCTGTGCTCTTTCAAACAGTGGCCCCAAGAGCTCAACAAACTGCAAATTCCCACCTCTATTTGCTCTGTGCTCCAATAACAGTTAAGCAATTCTCAGTCAAAACCTCTGTCAACGTCCTCCTTTCCTGTACTTAGATATGCTATGTGCTATGCAAATCTATGTTGAAAAGACATCCACATTTTGAAGATAGTTAAAAGTGACATATATAGGCACATCTTTAGTTAGCTAATGTTAGCAAAACATTAATCAAAATCCACATCCTGCACTGTGGAGAAACAGCAATTAGACTTTCATGTTGGGAGATGACATCCAACATTTGACTGAAATAAAATATGGAAAATCCAGATAATTAAAAAACCTCAATATTTAAACAATCCTGGCACAGAATGTGCGGTGTGCACTGTTGTCAGTATCTGTGCACAAGATAAAATATCAAAAACATATGAAGCCAAATCAATAACTAATTGAGTACACGTAAAGCCACCCATAATAATATATATGTATATGTAATAAGAAATAAGCTGCATGGTGCTTTGTCCCCATATCCTGTCCTTTTTTAAGACATTATTTTTGTCTTTATTGAAAACAACCAGAACATAGAGCTGCAACCATGGGTTTCAGTCTGACTTATGTCCCTTTGCTGCATTCCTTTTCTCTCTCCCCCCTTTCCTGTCACTTTTCAGCTAGGAAACATGATGGTAGGGGTAAAAAAAAAAATGACAAAGACATAATACACAGTAAATACAAGCAGAGTTGTTTACCTTCAGTTGAATCATTTAAACATTTAAATCATTAATCTTTTAAATTAATCCTGATGTGACCTGTGCAACATGACAACATTTGCATCACTTTACATAAACCTGCATAGCTCCAATCCACTGATTGATTATTAACTAGAGCCTGACCAATATGGGTTTTTTGAGACCAATACCGATTTTAGAGGGGGGGGGGATCTATGATTACCAATATGGCGGCCGATATAGTACATTTTTTACCTGGAATGTAATGAAAATGTCACATTTTCTACGTGGATTGAAATGACTCTGCAAAGGTACTCAGAAGGCTGCTTTCTTTGTGAACCAATTCTAGCTGACATTGCTGGGAGCTGCTTCTTCTCTCTTACTCTGAGCAACTAGCCACAGTATTGTAAATCACAGTGTACTCTGCTGGATAAACCTTGTAGTGACACCAATATATTACCACAAGCACTGTTTTCTGCATTTTAGACCGTGGAAAACTGTTTTCATTTCAGATAATATATACACCGATACCAATACACTACCGTGTCTGCGATAGGCCAATATCAGCCAACCGATATATTGGTAAATAGTAATGGACCTGTACTTGTATAGCGGCCTTTTAGTATTCCGCCACTCAAAGTCTTCTTTTACCACTACGTGCCACATTCACCCTTTCACATTGTTCTCCCTCTAACATCATGCTCTTTCTGTGGACTTGATAGTGAGACAATCATACACTTGTTTGTGGCTGTCCTCATATAAATATTGTTTTTGGTAAGATTTGTCCAGTACATTCCATTTTTGTACATTTTTATTACTATCCAAATATGTGCTGTTTGTTATTTGTGCAATTGAAAATAAGTATATTACATTATAAACCTTTTTATAATAAAATTTTATTATAGAAATGAAATGCAAACAAACTATTCAGCACTCTACAATCCCAAAGGCTTAAAAACTACTGTCTGAATTGCTCTGTGTACCTCTTGGCAAATATGCCTAACGTTTATTACTGTTCAATTTTGCAATGAAAAAGCTCCACTCTACTCTCCACACTCCAGTTCAGTAGGTGTCGGCAATGCATTTAGAAGCTGATTTGCCACCCGCCATTAAAAGAGGAAGAAGAAGAGCTACGTCGCTACGCCGTAGTGGTACGCGCTGGAGCTGGGTGTGAAGATGGCGGACGAGGAGGCCGAGCAGGACCGTAGTCCTGAGAACGGTATCAGTGAAACGATTGGGGAACTCAGACAACGGTTGCAACAACTGCAAGAAGTCGCGGTTAGAGAAAGCAGCGACTCTCCAGCCCACTCCTCTTCTGAGTATTGCCAAGAGTTTTGTAGGGTGAGTTATTCCTCCCACATAATTAACGTTAGTTAACAAGCTACGGTTAGCATTGATAATAACGGTGCGTCCTAGCTCCTGGATAAACCAGGGAAATGTTTGATTTCAGAGCCGAGCTATGCTCGAATGGGCAGGGCAGTTGTATTAAGAGTTCGTCCCGTCCCAGAACAAAAGCATGTGCATTGTTTAAACTTCGGCTAGTCGCTGAAGTAGAGTGTACAAATACTACTCAATCTGACCGCTGACATAGCTAGCTCCTCTAGCTACTAGCACTCGCTAGCTGATGGTTGTCTGCAGGAGATAGTTAACCGTAATGTTATTGGCGTTAAAAATCATTTCAGATACACCTCTGGTTATCTATCGTTGTCTGGTTCCAACGCATTAATACCAGCCGGTCTCTGTGTTTGGTTCATTGCCCAGGTACTGTGTAGTATATCAACCAAAACAGTTCTACCTGCAGTTAGCCTAACATTAGCTTTTAGCCTTGTATGTTTGGCTACATGCGCGTGCACGTGAGCATAATTTCGGTGTCTATGGTGGTAACGCAGCCCCCCGGCTGACTAAACCAATTACTCTTACTCCTATAGTGGCCTTGTTATAAGTTAGCCAGTGACCCATATTCTGCTGTCAACAACAACAACAACAACAACATGGCCCTTTTCAGTCAACAACCCTGCATGAAGTGTAGGGAATGCGATAAGACTTCACGGGAGAACGGCACGGTTCGTTAGGTTTTTTTTTCCCGCGATGAATTTCGTGTGTGTACGTGCCGAATCGAGCGTACGCTTTTGCAGGAGAGGCACGCCGTTTTCCACCTCGGTTGCATACTAAAATCAATACAACATCAACTGCAGCCACTCTCCCTGGAGACCTGCACGCAGCCCATTAGTAAGCCATCTGCACGGTTCGGAGTGAGCGGATGAGAGCACAGGGAGGGCGGATCTGCACCAAGCATCCCGACTCTCACTATTGTTGGGCTTTTCTTAGTGAGCGGATTTTGTGACATGAAATGTGTCCACTGTCTCCAGAAACGACACACAATGAGACCGTGTTATGGCACAAAAAATGTATATGTAGTCTAATCAACAAAACACAGCTGTTCGCAAAAAGTAAATGAGTAGAAGGGCTTGTGGCGGGCATAGGAAGCATTACTGATAGATAATGTATTTACAAAGCCTCTTATTGATGAGTTGACCATAAAATCTATCACTGATCACTCAAAGATTACAGAGATACTGTCAAAAATCACACTCAACCTGTTTTGGCCAATGTTTGAAATGTGTCCGTGTAGTTGGTGTAATTAACCTTTATTTTAAGTTAATATTTAGAGTTAAAATAAAAGACCGCTTACTATGATTGCGCTGGCAGTAAATGCATGTACACAAAAGACTTGATAACTTGAACCGGATAGAGGAAACCTGTTTTCTCTTTCTCAAAAATACAATTGTCGCTATTAGTTATGTGAAAGCATTCAAGCGTCTTATAAAGATGTTCAGGATTATTTTTCTTTTGTGGTAAAGTGTTTGACAGGAAATTGACCGACCTGCTGTTGGATCTTCTGGGCGCAGGTGTATAGAATCACTTGTTGCCACACCTTTTATTATATGTAGACGATCTCCATTCAACCTGCATGTACTATTGCTATTGGGGTTGCTAATAGGGTCAATTGGTGGATTTTTGGGGTGATTTTGTCATATTATGTAGCTAATTTAATAGTAAGCCTCTGAAGAATGAGAATTGGTGCTCAGCGGCACAGTACACACACCAAGCCAGAGGAAAAACAGCCGTGGAGCCGGAGCATTTCCAATCAAATTGCTGTGAGTTAAGGGTTTATTTCACCTACTTTAACAACAGGCAATACAGTAACAAGGTGATTGACAAAGGCTTCAACCAGGACTGTTACTCCGGGGAGATACGGGGACAGGATTTTCCCCAGGCCGGGAGAGGAGACGTGTGAAGCAGTAGAAGAGGCACAGGGAGGTTGGGCATCTGAGAGGCAGCGACTGTGTGTAGAGCCAGAATATTTTCACATCTAACTAACTGTTACACACCAGAGTTGGTGGATTGTGGGAACAGTGTAAAGACTAATAAAGACGGTTTGGTGAGTTTATATTTTATTTATTGAAAAAGTGTGTTTTTAAGGTGATTGAACATGTCAGTTAACAAACAGAAACTTTAATTCAGAAGGTGTTTTTATATATTTTAGTTTCCTGGCACTGGCGCAGCACACACAGGCGAATATATCAGCAATCCCTGATTGTAAATGGAATTTCAGACTCATAACTTTTGAAAAGACAAAATATATTAGGTAAAGTTAGGTTAAGATTTTGATAGTGGTCAGGACCCTCCTTTGCCCCACAAATTCTTAATGGCATGGATCAACAAGGTGCTCGAAACATTCCTTAGATATGATGCTATCGCGCAGTTGCTGCAGATTTGTCAGATGCACTTTGGTTCCACCACATCCTGAAGGTAGGGCTGGGCAATATGGCCTAAAAGTAAAATCCAAACCATATTTACAATTTAAGTCCTTTTCTTTTTTTTCTTCTTACAAAACAAATTACTACACTTTCTACACTTTCAATGTGAAATGCCACCACATGTGAAATGGCGCTGGGCCCCTTCTTCTCATACGGGATACTATGGGGATATTACTCTACATGTTCTGTGTAGGTGAGTGCCCAACTTCACCCAAAGGTGCTCTTTATTGATCCGGTGACTTTGGAGGC